GACTGGGGAACAGACTGGGACAAGGAGCCTGCAGGGATGGAGACTGGGACTGAATGCTAGCAGGTGGCAGCAACTAGGAATGGCTTGGCAAGGAAACTAGGTCTGGGAGCCACTGAGGAAAATGGACAGGGGGAGACCTAAGGGAACCAGTTGGAGAGGATAGGGAGACATTTCACAAGGAGCCATAGGGAGAACCAGGACTTGCTGGGCAAAGAGACTGGGTCAAGGAGGACCCAGATTGGGTCAGAAGCCTAGGGAGGAGAACTTGTAACCAATTGGGTCAGAGAGAGATCAGGAAGGGAAATGGGACAGTATATCATGTAATCAAAGACTATCAAAATGCATATGCAAAAGGAGGACAAATTAAGATTGCACAGACCACTTTAATTCTGGCATTTCTCAGCTTCTGAGTGCTTGACTTTGCAACATTAACCTAATATTTTTTTAAAGGTAATTTAAGGCATCATCATGACTAAAGTTTCTGCTCTAAGTGAGCCAATACTTAGACCCACTGAATTTCTACAACTCAGAAATCAGAGTCTTCCATAGTGTAAGGCCAGAAGGGACCATTATGATCATCTAACCTGATCTCCTGCATAACACAGGCCACAGAACCTCACTCTGTAATTTCTGCATCAAGCCCGAAACTTTTCTTTTAAGAAAGACATCCAGTCTTAAAGACTAAATGATGGAGAACCCACCACGTCCCTAGATAAATTGTTTCAATGATAAATTTTCAACAACAATGGTAATTAACATCTTATTTCTAGTGTAAATTTGTCTACTTTCTGCCTCCAACAACTGGACCTTTTTTCCTGCTAGATTAAAGAGCCCTCTTACTATCAGAAATATCTTCCCCATGCAGACCATGATCAAGTCACCTCTTAATCTTCTCTTGAATAAATTAAACATTGAGCTTCTTAAGTCTCTCACCATAAGGTGAGTTTTCCAGACTTTGAGTCATTCTTATAGTTCTTGAAGAATATTCCTAGGATCAGGTATTCTCTCTCCCAAAAATAGTGCCTGAATCTAATCCAATATTTAGAATACACTTGAGAAGTCAATTTCCTCCTTTTGTCAAATACAGCATGGTATGATTGAGGAGGTCAAGGTACTCAGGAACCTCACTTCAATAGCTAGGTAATTGTATATAGTCCATGTACTCTATGGCATGCTGAAACTCAATTCTGTCTCAGTTTCATTTAAATTAGAGAATGAGTGTTTTAAAATTAAGTATGATAAATACAATCTATGCAGTAGTGTCCTAATGTTGTTTATTTTGATGGTAAATTCTATTTTACATTCTACACACATTCAAGTTTTCAGTATCTCAGATTTCTGTACTGACAAGACAGCTGCATTGCAGAAGCTGTAAGGAGAAGCTGTAGTGTTTGGCAAGTGGGATAGGGACAGTTGCCACTTTTCGAGGCATAGGAAGCAGTTTGCGGGCATGTGAAATTAGCTGGATGTTTTTGCTACCATTATGAGTGATACAGTTATCAATGTTGACATTTCAATTGCAGTCTTTAGATTTTAGATCTTTCACTCTAGTGATATGACTAGCAAAATTCACAGCTATTGTCTTAGGCTACCTACAAACTCAGAAGATACCATTTCATTAGTTTACACAGTTACATTAGCAAGGTTTCCTTCACAAACGTGAGGGCCAGAAACAAGCCTTTTAATTTAAAGCTTAGATACTTGAGAGCAATTCTGTAGCAAAGGGTGAATTCCACAGCAAATTCTACACCTTCAGAATTGCAGACCACATAGGGACCAGGATAAAGTTTTCCAGGTCCTGATGTTTCAAAGGATTCAGACAGTACATCTGAATGCCTTGTCATCTTTGAAACTGGACAGTGCTTAAAGGCTTCATCTGTTGTATTAGCCTCCAGTTAGCAAAAGTCTGAAAAAAATGAAACCACCCCTTCCTGCTGTGAGGAGCTTTCCTCTCCTCCTTCACAGCATCCTGGCTGCTGCATCTCTCCACTACTTTAGCCTCTCCCCCAACCTTCTCCCCAAATGCTTTCTCAAACAGAAGCATCATATTGACAAGTTTATTGACAGTTTCATTGCTGCCCAGAATCTTAATTTTACTTTGCTGCTGGTTGGTAAACAGAAGCAGCTGCAGAGGCAGTGGGCTGTCACATGTTTACAGAGTCAGGAAGACAACACAACATTAATATACATTCATTTAACACCTGGAATGTTATCTTCATAAGCATAAGAGTTCTGTCACCTCTTATACACAGTAACCTGAAATTCTGCAAAAATTTAAGAGAACTGGGGCTTCCCATTCACCAGTGATAAGTGGGTGAGAGGATTTGTTTTAAGACCAAAGAGTTAGACTGTGCTTTTGGGGGGCTGTGCCCTATTCTGTGTTTTGCAAAGCACAATGAACGTTTATAGTAGTACATAAACAACAAACAATACTTGGGACCATGGCCTTCTCTGTTAGCAAGGAACCATCATGGTGACTCAAAAGTCTCTCCATACCAATATATGAAATTAGAGGAAAAGGAAATACAGCAGCCAATCATATAAAATGGCATCTACACAAAGCACTTCAATTTCTTCCCTGATGAAGAAGAGAATCTTGGATTACTTCATTTTAGAGGTCATTTGTGGTAAATTAAATAAAATGGTATTCATTAATGTTTCCCTACACAGATGCCATTCGTTCTGTATCATCTTTCTGCTCAGTCAATTCACCTGAGTGTCTTTCTCCTGTAAAATGCATGGCCTGAAGAGACAGCAGATTCTCTTCAATGCACACAAACACTGTCACTTCTTCGTTTGTCCATTGTGTCCTTAAATTCCATATTTGTTTACATACATCATTGCTAAAGGGTCATGGCAAAACAAGCAGAATGTAGGGCTTGTCTACATTGGCACTTTACAGTGCTGCAACTTTCTCGCTCAGGAGTGTGAAAAAAAAAACCCCTGAGCGCAGCAAGTTTCAGCGTTGTAAAGCGCCAGTGTAAACAGTCCCCCAGCGCTGGGAGCTACACTCCTCGTGAAGGTGGGTTTTTTTAGTGCGCTGGGAGAGAGCTCTCCCAGTACTCTGCCGTGACTACACAAGCCATGTTAAAGCGCTGCTGCAGCAGTGCTTTAGCCTTGCCAGTGTAGATTAGCCCTTAGATACATTCTCCTAGCTGGAGTTGAGCTTACATAGCTAATTACCATGCCACATGCCCTGCAGCCTCAGGTGCAGAGGGTGGGAAGGAGAGACCTGAGCACGCTATCCTCCAGCTAAATTCAGCTAGCAGATGATCCCTTGGGCACTGTCGCAAGCTGGTGCAGATTAGAGCAGCCTCTGGTGTACACTAACCTGGGCCAGACGACTAGCAGAAAATCAAGGAACTGTAACCAGCTCTCAAAGCCCTCCATCCCCATGATACCAAGGGTAAACTTGACAAACAGGGAACCTAGCCCATGTCTGTCTGTCTCTACAGGTAATAGTAGTGCTAGGTGCACTGCCAGATCAACATTACTTACAATTCCTCCAGGTCTAGAATTAGCTTTACTTCACCAGCCTTCTTGGGGACATGAATGATGAATTATGTTCTGAAAGCCTATGATGGAACCAGGAATTTAGTGATATCAGCACTCAGAAGATGCACAGAAAAAAGTTAGGAGTTCTGTAGTATATCTTGAGGCAAGAGATTAATTGTATCTTGTTCTAGGAATCAAGAGGAATCCTGAGAGTATTTGATAGAACCTACTTCCAGAAGTCAATTATTGGCCATTGCTGAATTATTGGCCATCCTCCTGAGGGTTCTTTGCAAGCTCTGATGATAGTCACAAAGGACAATTAGCCATCAGAGTCCGCTTGGAAACCCAACTCCTGTATGATCTCTCTTCCAGATGCTGACTCCAAAGACTGTTCTTGCATGTCCAGAATCTATTCAAACTCTGGGTTATCTAGCCTGACAATAGTACTACTTAGATTTTATAAAGAACTTGAACTCTAAGAAAGCATTGTTATCTGTCAAACTCTATTTTCTTTTCTCTAGGCTTCACTTTCTTGAAGGGCTGTCCAAAGAATCTTTTCCTGGCCAATTTAGAGGATACTAGCAACTATTTCATTTGGGTATCAGCTTTCCATTGTCTCAGCCAATGATATTTAGCAACTGTATTTGAACATACAGCCCTCTGCATTTCCACAGATGTATCTCATAAAAAGGCTTTACAGAGACTCTCTCTTATGAAGGACTTTTCAGTTTTGTCCAGATTGGTGTACTGTCCTTTGTCTCCAAGCACTATACTGTAACAGCTTTGACAGAACACATGGTAACACCAGTCTGTCCATTTGATCTTTCTGAAAATAGTCTCTCCTTCTCTGCAAGGATCACAGCCTTTAGCCAACAAAGCCACAACTTTACCTACCTTTGGGAACTGAATTTAAAAAGTTTTTTTCAAATCTACAGTTTCACTCTTCTGCCTGCATTAGGAAATTCTCTTTCAGCTTCTAAATTACATCCTCTAAAACGAAGGAATGACATGCTCCTGTTTGAATCCAGGGGAACAAGAGCTCTTTAGCTTTTCTGGCTTTGTTGTATTGGAGGATTATGACCTAGAGTCAGAAAAATCCTCTTCTTCTTTCAAAGATGAACTAGACAATAGCTACTTCCATTGCTTTTTAGATGATTGTGAACTCCCTACCTACCACCCCCACCCCACCTCCCCTTCTGGCTTGTGAGAATTCTTGCTCCTGGAATCACTGCATCTCTTTCTACCCTTTGAAGAAATTTTTGATAAAGGACAGGTCTCTTAAAACTCTCCCTGTTAAAAGGGTCCCATTATAGAAGAACTTATATTTCTACCAACTGAACTACTGGCTTTGGAAGTCGTAATACAGGAGCTGGGAAAACTATTAACAATGAGACTTATTACCTCAAGTTAACAGCAATCACTTAACCCCGTTAGGGAAATGGACAGAATTTAAAAAAAAATTAAATCCCCTCAGCAGCAGAAGTACTCGGTAGGTTCGCACTTACCCCTGCCAGTTCTTGTTGAATAGGAGCAAGCTGGGCTTCAGAAGCAGGAATCAGAGTACTGACTGAGGCAACAGCGGGAGCAGGAAGCTCAAAGTCGCGCTCACCAGCTGATTCTGTGTGACCCATACCACCGTGGGGGGACTCAGCCTCTCCCTGTGGGTCCTCGCCTGAATCCGACAAACCTTTTTGCTCTGCAGGGGACTGGGAGCAAAAAAGACAATGTCCCTTCAATGCAAGGCTGCAACATGATGGAGCAGTTGTCCAAGTGACAGGATTTACTAATCCTTTTTTACCTTCAAAATTTTCGTGATCTGGCAGAAGAAGTTGCTCCAATGAAAGATAGCATAAAACAGGTAAGAACCTGTAACTGAATTAGTCCCCCATCAAATAAGCATCAGATGGAGCACATAAACTTTAAAAAGGCAGCCAAAACTACTAGTGCCCCCTAACCAAAACCGCTTTTCTGCCAGCCCCAACATCCCCAACCATAGGGTTATTGGGGTTTAGTTTCTCCTTTTGTTGAGCCTTGATTGACAGCTTCTATCTGCCTAGTGGGAACAACTCAGAGAAACAATTAGCAAACAGACAATTGCTGGAAATAATGGATTATTCCACTGTTACAGGCCATGCAGCTTAAGAGTAGTGTTTGTTGATTTTTAAATGTAATATATCAATATTCGCAAAACAAACACTTTTGTGTTCATGTATCAATGCATTCTCTGAAAACCACAGTGGCAGAGAGTCTCTCCTTTGTGTATATTTTTGAATTTACATTAAATTATGTTACATCATTACTAGAGGGAAAAGGATCTTATTGTTAGGAAATCTGGGTTCAGTTCCCACCTCTGCCACTGATTCCCTGAATGATCTTGGTTAAATCACTTAATTTTCCTGTGTCACAGATCTCCATCTATAGAGCAACAAAATTTCCCAAGCAATGCAAAGATTTGAGATTTTTTTTAGGGTAGATGTATCCATGGCTGGATCTCTCTTACAAAGCAGTCAACAGAAGAGAAGAGGTCGACGAACTCTTGCTCTAGACCAAGTGTATCTAATAAGAAACTACCACCATTACCATGTTATATTTAAACAGCACCTTACATCCTTTAGAATTCAAAGCCCTTCACAAACATCAGATGATACATAAATACATGATCATTTCATCCACCACTGAGATGCAGCCACCTTCCAGGTGAAACACAAAAACTGTTTGATAGCACAGAGAAACATTACATTAAGTCAAGAATGCTATATACAACTGAAACAATAGGGTTTATTGTAGGCAAGCACAATGTAAATACCCAAACTACATCTCTACTTTTGTGAAAAGTGAATTGGATTGTTAATGATCCGTAAGAGGACAAAACTTTGATTTTACATCTCATCTGAAAGGTTTTGCTCAGGAATGGTCAGGATACTGGGGTGTTTAAGTTTTCAAAGCTTTATTTTAAATACACAAAGACTGCCAAACCCAAACACCAATTTGAAATAGTCAAGGAAATGAGTCAGAAAGAAGTGGAGAAGGTGGTGGAATCTCCTTCCTTGGAGGTTTTTAAGGTCAGGCTTGACAAAGCCCTGGCTGGGATGATTTAATTGGGATTAGGTCCTGCTTTGAGCAGGGGGTTGGACTAGATGACCTCCTGAGGTCCCTTCCAACCCTGATATTCTATGATTCTATGATAATCTTACATGAACAAATGGATCCCACAAGTAGAGTCCCAGGAAAGTGGGCTGGTAGAAATCCCAGCACACTCACTCCTTCCAGAGCCTTAAGGAAAAGGGGACTGGCTTCTCATAATGAGGCTGTCCCTTGAGCCCCACTGTTGTCTCCCCTCCTCTGCACCATTTTTTAAAATTGCTTTTCAGTCTCTAATACAGCAAATCCTCTAACTAGTAGATTTTTGATACAGTTTTCACACTGCTCACTAACTCAAACTACTATAATAATTTCGACTAAATGATACAATTGCTAAAGAAATAGCTTATGTATATCAGATAACAAGGATAAAGCTCAATAAACTATACAAGATGAACAAAGAAGAGGAATTCTAACTCCAGAACCATTAATCCAGCACCTACCACTACATTCTCTTTAAGAACACCACATTTGTAAAAATTACAAAGAGCCTCATTCTCATTTGCACTAAATCTCCTTTTCCCCAGAATGGGGTAAATGAAAATCAGGCCCAAAAGGTTGAAAAAATAATTGACAGTTTTGTGTCTCAAAAAGAAAACACTTGACAATTTAACTGCCTTGTAGATCAGATAATAGATGCCAGTAGCATTTTTAGTGCAGTCATCTGGAAACTAGATCTAACAGGCTGATAAGCATTATTTTTAATTGGTGTGGAGGGGTAGACAACTGTGGGGCTCAAGGGACAGCCTCTTTGTGAGAAGAAAGTCCCCCTTTCCATAAGGCTCTGGAAGGAGTGAGTGTGCTGGGATTTCTACCAGCCTGCTTTCTTCAGGCTCTACTTCCACTTCAGCTGAAAGCTTTACTGAAAATAGCACCAGCTAAGTCAATCTTGTAAATCTGCTAAGCAGCCAAAGAAAATAACTGCAGGTCTCATTATTAAAAGGGAGGGGGAGAGGGAAGACATTGTCCTGAATCACCTTTAGGTTACCATATTTTATTTAAGGCAAGTTTGATAAGAAAAATGCCCTGAATTGTGCTGGAGCATCTACATAAGTAGATGTGCATGTTCTGATGTTTCACTAAATCCAAGTGTCCATTTTAAAAACTGGTCTCCATAGCCTACCACCACATTAAAGGTTTGAATCTGCAATCTGCTTGCCACATTCAACACCTGTTAACTTCACTGGAAATTATGGGTCTTCAGCACCTCACAGGAACAGGCCTCAAGTGAGCATTTCAGGAAATAGTGGCTCCGACAAGTAGGGTAGGCAGAATTTGACTTTTAATTTTTTTCTAATTTCAATGATTAATATTGATCTTCACTTAAGAAGATTATTGATTTTTAACTATTTTTACAGCTGCTAGAAATTGAGAGAGCAGAGACCCTGCCGGCCAGGAGCAAGGTGAGCCCCACACTGTGGGGTGCTGCTGAATACTTCCTGCCTGGGGGTGGCTCTCACACTCATGGCTAGTCAGTGAGCGAGCGGGGCCATGAGACTGAAGTTGTAGAGGGTTCCCCTGCACAGCTGTGGGCCAGTGACAACCAATCCCTGCAGGCACAAGGGTGCATGGAGGTGTAGTAGGAAGAGGGCCTGAAACATAAGCCCTTGTATCAGAGGCCTGAGCTAAAGTAGTGGTCAAACCTTTGCTGAGCATTCACACACACATATTCCAGAAGGGTGGTACCAAACACCCCGATACCAACACATTCCCTAAAGATAACAGGAACAGGCTGACCCATCCTAAAGATAAGGTCAGGAGATGCACAGAGATGTACAAGGTGATATAGGGTTACCATATTTTGAGCCTCCAAAAGGAGGACACTCCACGGGGCCCCGGCCCCGCCCCCAGCCCCGCCCATGCCCCAACTCCGCCCCTTCCCCAAAGTCCCCGCCCCAACTCCGCCCCCTCCCCTGCTTCCCGCGAACATTTGATTTGCGGGAAGCCTGAAGCAGCTAAGGGGGGTGTGGGGGGAGGAGGCGCGGCCCAGTCTGGCCCCCCGGCGTCTCCAGCCTGGGTCGGCTCGGGCTCTGGGGTGCCGGTCCCCGGCCCCCGGGCCCCCGGCTGAGCACCCCTGGCCCGCCCAGCACTGCCGGTCCCCGGCCCGGCCCCCGGCTCGGCACTGCCGGCCCCCGAGCCCCCGGCTCGGCACCACTGACAGCCGGCCCCCGAGCCCCCGGCCCGGCACCGCCAGCCCCGCATGTCCCGATTTTCCCGGACATGTCCGGCTTTTGGGGATTTCCCCCCGGACGGGGATTTGGAGCCCAAAAAGCCGGACATGTCCGGGAAAATCCGGACGTATGGTAACCCTAAGGTGATAGCTGACACACTCTGACGGAGCCAATTTTCATCTAACTATATCAGATGAACTTGTTTGTAAAACGGAGTCTCAGAGAAGCGTCTTTGGCCAGCTGAGGGGATAGTGGAAAGTCCTGCCACTAACTCAGCTGTGTCCGTTGTCACGGGCATACATGCACTGAATGTACTCGTAGCACGTATAAGGCACCAATACCGTGCCTCGTCGACAATAAACCTAACCAAGTTCCTTCGCTACGAACTGAGCCTGTGGTTATTAAGCAGTTCGACCAGAGTCTGATACGGTATGGACGTGCTGGGTTGCTAGCAAAAGAGGTCCACATGAATTTAAAAAATATAGTGGGGAAGAAACATGTAATGGAATCTGTAAGGCTAGGGCAGAGACTGTAGCCTTAAAATGTAAAATATTGCAAACTAAGCTAGAGCCCTGGAATGCTCCCATTCCCCTTGCAGGGCGGCAAGCCATCCAGAAACAGCAAGCATAGGAACAGAATAAAACATTGAAAATAGCTGTAAAAAGCCTACAAAAAAAAGAGATGTGCCATTTCCTGTTATAATTATTTGTGGTCAACAGCAGGCTTCAGGTAGCTACCCTGTGCCTGAAGAATGGGGACAGAAATGGAAAAAGGTGGCCTTAGCAAAATTAAAAAATGAAACAGGGGCCACTGCATTGCAACCACCACCATATGATAAAAGCCAGATTCTGGTAAAACTCAAACCCAGACCTAGACTAGTGCCTGTCAGAATGGGAGAAGTAAGTGCACAGGAGGGAGAAGTTGCAAATACTTTCATTGAACTGGTAAATCAGATGAAGGAAAAAAATGGAACAGTTCACAGAGCTCATTAGGAGACAGGAGCTGCGACTTGATCAAAGGGAAGTGAAAAAAAAACGTCAAACTAGGGCTGTCAAGCGATTAATCAAATGAATGGCAATTAATTGTGCGATTAAACAATAATGGAATACCATTTATTTAAATATTTTCAGATTTCTACTTTTTCAAATATATTGATTTCAATTACAACACAGAATACAAAGTGTACAGTGCTTATTTTATATTTATTGTTGATTACAAATATTTGCACTGTAAAAAACAAAAGAAAATTTTTTCAATTCACCTAATACAAGTACTGTAGTACAATCTCTTTATCATGAAAGTTGAACTTACAAATGTAGAATTGGGGGGGGGGGGGACGACGATGACAAAACCTGTATTCAAAAACAAAACAATGTAAAACTTTAGAGCCTACA